ACGCGCAGCTTACCCCGCGCGGACTGGCCTGGCAATCGCGGGCGTACTTGCGGCCGCCGTGTCCGTGCCCGGTGGGCTTCCGCGCGGGGGCAGGCGCCTGCGCCCCCTCCTCGGGTGTCCCCCCAACAAGGGTCTCCTTCCGGCTCGGGAGTGGCCAGCAGTGGGCGCCCAGCCTCGCGGGGAAGCGGTAGGGGGCGGGGCGAGCAGGGCGCCTAGGTGAGGCACCTGCCCGCACCCCTGCCACGTGGCTGGCTTTCAGCCTTCGTTGTGCCTGCCCAGGTGCACCCCTTTTCTGAGTCAAGGGGCATGGGGCGTCACCCGGAAGGGGCTCGTGGGTCAGTTGTGGACCCCGGGGGGCCCCTTCCACCAGGCACACCCCACCAGGAGGGAGAAGGGGCACCATGGGGTCCCAGCGAGGGCCCGGCCCCCGGGCAGTCAACCCACGGCTGCCCCACTCACCTTCCACCGACACCCTCCGCGCGCCCTGCTTTTCCCCGGGCTCCCCCAGCCCCAGTATTGGAGACTGTTTACCTAGGGGAGTATAACCTAATCCACACAATTACAGAGCACTTGAGTAGGGAATAAAATCTGAAATTAATTAATTTGCTGTTTTATTTAAACAAATTGTCTTAACCACTTTCTGATTACGGGAGTCTATTTAGACATCTATTTAGAGCCGCCTCCATTGTCTCTGAAATCTGTGGAATTTTTAAAGGCCGATAGCAGCTTTTGACATTTCCAGTTAGGCTGGTGACAGGCATGTAAACACTTGGTGAAGTGAATTTCCCGTTGGGGCCCAAGCCAGAGCAAGAAACGTGAGATGATGATAACTTTGGTTACTCGGAACAACCTAACAGCAGGCCTGGCAAAGACAATTTAAAGACCCCGTTGGGATTTGTGTGATTGTAACAACAGGGAAAATATACAGTAATCAGTTGAACTCAAAAGTACCTCAAACCCCAGAGATGGGAGATGCGTGTGTCTGTTTGTGGTTCTTTAGAGAACTGGGAAATCAAAACCTTCCAACCTGTCACAGTAATAACCCGGCACAGAGCTGGGGCTCTGTGACAGCCGATTATCTCCCAAGATCTTCCTGTGTATGGCTGGGTTTCCTGCCCTCAAAGCGTCAGCAGGCCGTGTGTCCTAGGTTTAAAAAGCACGTGGCAGGCCCACGACCTGGTGTTTTCTGAACCCCTCTCTTACCTATATTTGTAAAACAGGGCAAAGTCAAAAAATGGAGGACGGTCTTTAAGAGAAAAACTGGACAAGATAGGATTAAACCTGCCGGCAGGGAGACGCAAAGCAGCCAACGTCACCCTGCTGACCTCGCTGGTAGAGGGTAAGCCACTGAGAAGGGACAGTCACTGGGAAAGTGGGCACCCCTTCCTGCCAGATGTTTGGAAGTGTGTGATGGGGAAGGAGCTGTCTGCCCCCCCCCGTCCCCCCCCCAGTAGAGCTGGATGGGAGCAGAATTCTTGCATGTCAAAAAAAGTACTATGTCTTCCTCTCTCCCCTCACCTGAAAATTACGCCTCTCCAGCCCAGTGATCTCAGCAAAACTTGAACATTTAAGAAGTTCCCGTTCTCCAAGTTCCTGCTCCTTTAAAGAGCTCAGCAGTAAATCACTTAAGCTATTCTGACATCTGCCTTTGAGAAATGCGTGACCATTACTTCCTGAATTAATTTGGGAATCTTTGACCTGCATCCTGATTTAAGACCATCCTGAAAGCTCAGGGTTAGATGCCCTGTCGGTCTTTGTTTTCCAAACATATGCTCTCTTATCGCTCATTTAATTGTTTTTCTCGGCTGGAGGGGAACAGTGAGCCATTTTAGACTTTGGGTTGTTTAGGAAAGAAAAAAGAAATCCAGGCACCACAACAAGTTGCTCTTGGAGGTTTTGCATACACACAGCCTTCCAAACCCCTCAAGACAAAAGCCAGCTCCCTGCTCTGGAGTCAGCCAGCCACTTGGTCTCGCTTTTTCCTGATACTAAATTAGCCTAAGATTGGGATGTGTGCATGAGCTTACAGCTTTTCTGGGGTCGTCCTTTGTGTCCTGTTGGAAATCTCTTAAGCTAATAGAAAAAAAAAAAAAAAACAACGCACATTAGCAAACAGACCTCAACGGTGCCACTACATTTATTTTAAAGAAGGCCTCAGCCTTGTCTTCCAGGACATCCAGAAAGTGGGCTTCAGGCTCTTACTGTAAATTCCTAAAAGCAGCATATTAGCAGGAAGCTCACGTGTGAGGCTGGTAACGAGTGACTGCTAAGTGATAAGTAATTGTCCAGCTCGGGCAGGAGCTCTCAGACAGAGCTGGGAACCCCATGGGGTGGCCCCCGCAAGAGGGAGAGGCAGAGAAGACAGCTTGTGACTTAGGGCCACGCAGGCAGTCGAGCAGGCAGGCAGTCGAGTGGGGCTGGGCTGAGCCTGCCAGGGAGGCTGCTTCTGCAGAACTGTTATTGTTTGTGATCCGCTCCATTTTATGGAAACAGGCTTGGGGAGAGCGCTTTGATGCTCTAATTGGCGCATGCGTTCTTCCGGGCTGGAGCTAATGGCAGGAAGCCCTGCAGTAAAAACCAACTGGTTCAGGAAATTAAAACCAAAGATTCGAAAATCAACAACACAGACAGACTCCGTGGACTGACCCTCAAATCCTCCTGGTTAATCGGTTTGGATGAACAGATAATTACATGCGATCAAGTTAAAATGCGAAGGCCTCGTCCTCCCCCCTGGGCAGAGGCGCCCAGAACAATCATGAATATCATTTGTGCTGCCCTTGAGGTGTGAGGTGGCCACACCAGGCAGGAGCATTTTGAGAGAGAAGTTGGGGGAATGGAGGGGTGGGGGAGGGGCGGCCCATCCTGGTGTCCTGGCCCTCTGGGCCCAGTGGCCCTGGGGAGGAGGTCAGCCTGGAGGGAGAGCCCAGGGCCTCCCCATTCCCGCCTGTCCTGAGCGCTGACTCTGGTGTTTCTCCTGCCTGCTGCCCTCTCTCTGCCAGGTGAAGCCGTCCACCTAGCCAGGGACTTTGGCTACGTGTGCGAAACCGAATTTCCTGCCAAAGCAGTAGCTGAGTTTCTCAACCGACAGCATTCCGATCCCAACGAGCAAGTGACAAGAAAGAACATGCTCCTGGCTACAAAGTAAGGCGGGGCCCTGGTGGGCCTCCTGCCCTTCCCTCTGGCCGCAGCTTCCGCCCGCCCGGCCTCTCCTGCCCAGTCTATCCCCTGCGCTCTCTGGATCCTTGTCTAGTCATAAATCCCAAAGCCACAGGCCCGCCGTCCACTCTCCGGGAGGGATTGGCCAATGGGGTCCCTGTGCACGGCGTTGCAGAGTCTTGGGCTACAGGCCTGTCCAGACCACTTGTGTGAACTGGGGTGGGTCAGCAGTGGGTTGCTGGCATGAGAGGCTGTTCTAGCATCCCTTAACTCCTGGAGCTGGGTCTCCCCACCCTCCTGCCTCCTTGGAGGAGTTACCTGCACATATGTGCACACACACACACTGTGCAGATGTGTGGGGTACCACAAGTTCAGGCTCACAGGTGTGACCACAGGCGAGAGTCAGGGTGGGCTCAGAACGGCCCGCAACTAGGCTCCCCAGTTTGTGTGTGCAAAAAAGGTGGCTGTTTTGATAGGTTTCCTGGGAATTAAAGGTGTGCATGGAAACCCTTAATTATTGAGGTTGGTGTTGTAGGAGGTCGTGGGGCAGAGGCTTAGGCCATGGCTTGGCTTGGGGCACGACCGCGGGCATTGAGAAGGGCCTTAGCTAGGGCGCCCCCTAGGGAGGGTTTCCCCTCACAGAAGCTCCCCCAGGCCAGGACCCTCACTCGCTGGCCAGGAGGAGAGAGGTGGAATGGGACATTTTTTTCTTCCACGGGCCTTGTGAATTATCCCAGGTAGTGGGGCTTCTGGGCCTCCACACCTGGGTCTTCGCACCAGGGTCTTCACATCTGGGTCTTCCCACCTTCCCTTAAAAGGGCCGGGAGGGTGTGGCCTGCAGGGATGGGGGTGCTGGTATGAGTGGGAGGAGGGTCGGATGGGCTGGGGCAGGTGGCTGGGGAAGTGGCTGCTGCGTCTGGCCCTTACCCCTCTCTCTGTCCCCCTGTGCTGCAGACAGATCTGCAAAGAGTTCACCGACCTCCTGGCCCAGGACCGGTCCCCACTGGGCAACTCCAGGCCCAACCCCATTCTGGAGCCGGGCATCCAGAGCTGCTTGACCCACTTCAACCTCATCTCACATGGCTTCGGCAGCCCGGCTGTGTGTGCAGCGGTAACGGCCCTGCAGAACTATCTCACCGAGGCCCTCAAGGCCATGGACAAGATGTACCTCAGCAACAACCCCAACAGCCACGCGGACAGCGGGGCCAAGAGCAGCGACAAGGAAGAGAAGCACAGAAAGTGAGCTGCCCGCCTCACCCTGCACTCTGCCGCCGGGGTGCCGGCCGGGGGGGGGGCCCCCCAACCCCGCTGCTGCTGGACTGCTCCCATGGGCCGCCCAACCTGGCCTGCCTCGGCCTCCCTGCCCGCACCACACCCTGTTGCCCTCTTTGGAGCCCCACAGGCAGAACAGGCCGCCAAGCCAGCCCAGAAAAGTTCTGTCCGAGTTCACGGACCTTTTTTTAAAACACAAAAAACAAAACCGCAGACCGACGACATCGATGACGTCAAACAAAAAAAGTAAAAATGGTTTTTCTAAAAAAAGGACGTAAAAATACAAAAAAAAACCAAAAAACAAAAAACAAAAATAAAAACAAAAAACAAAAAAAAAAACGACAGGAGCTTCGCCCGGTCACCACCACCCCTGTCCCCCACGCTTCGGTCCCCACGTAGCCACACTAGGCAAGGCAGAAAGGCTAAGGACGTTTTTATCAGTATTGTGAATAGACTTGAACCCTCCACCTGCAGTTACGGTCCCTCCAGGTAAAGCCACGACTTGAACTCTCTCTGGCGACACGATTCGGTCACATAAGGGAATCCGTGTTCACGTCTCTGTATATATTTATTTATGTGTAATTTAATGGGAGTTGTAAATATGCTGCGTCTGTTTGAAGCCTTTTTTTTTTTTTTATTTATCTGGTGATCTTGTTTACCTCTGGCTTAGTGGGTTTGAACCTTCCTCTTCGTTCTACCTGTGCTTCAAGGTACTTCTTTAGAAATCCAAGGTTGGGGGATTTGTTTTTCCTTGGGGACTCATGAATTTAGCCCTGTTGTAGCATGTAAAGATGACCATGAAACAGCTGAACACATGACAAAAAAAAATAATAAAATTTTATATATAATTAGTATGACACTTAGCTTTTCATTGGACTGAAAGAAAAAAAAAGGGGGGGGATATTCGATCCTGGAAAGGCTTTTAAACTTGAGTGGTTTCATGACCGTTCTGTGTATTGTGGGAAGAAAAAGTTTATTTTATCCCACTGCCCTCCAGAAAAGCATTATTTGAGCAATAAATAGTCTTGTCTTTAAACCAAGGGCCAGGTCTCTCCCCTTTCCCCTATCTCTCTCTGTCCCCCTATCTTTCTGTGGCTCTGTGTCTCTCTCTTTTTGTTCAGAGAACTTGCAGCGTTTGGGACCACCTGGTATTCTGTATTTTCACTCTGGCCTTGCGTTGGCAATAGCTTCCACGCCTGTCAATGTATCATAGCCCTTTGTTGCCCAGATAAATAAATATTTGATACGCTTTATGTCGATTTTTTTTATTCAGTAGCTGTCTTTGCCCAGGCGTATTTTTGTTCTTGGCAGTATTTTTATTCAGTCTGGTTACAGTAATTGAGTTTAACTTTCCCTGGACGATTGGTCCTTGCAATAAGCAGCTGAACCCATTGTTCCCCTCAAGTATAATAAAAACTTACTTTCAACTTGGAGTTCAGAGCAGGGTATCATTTAGATATTCCACTGAGTCTGTATTCAGACAAATGACACAATAAAACCCAATGTATTCTTTTGGATAAAAGATTGTACTGCGAAAGGAATGACATGCTATCTTTTCCTTGCTAGAAACATTAATTTTATTGTTAAAAATAAAGTTTTATTTTATTTATGTTGATCCTTTAGGTTTTTGTTTGTGTTTTGGAAACCAAAATACATTAAAAAACAAAAACAAAACAAAACAAAAAACCCAGAACCCTCAGGCCTGAGCCTTCAAGAGGGTGAGGAAGTTGGAGAGACCAGAACAGACCCCCGCCCCCCACGGCCACTTTGGAATCTGTCTGTGGCCTCCGGGAAAACTGGCATTTGCGCTGTTCATTGCACAAAGGAGATGTGGCCTGCACCTTCCGTTGGGCTCCTAGGTGGCCACGCCTGGAGCCGGCCGCAGCAGGCCGGGCAGAGAAAGCCTTGGAGAAAGGGACTCGGCTGCAGCCATGGTTTTAATACTGCACTGGCCGGGCTCTGGCTGCCCTGCGTTCAGCAGCTCTGGAGGAGCAGAGGGGAGCAGCATTCTCGGGATTCCCCGCGTCGTTTGCTCCCGTGCCCTGGAGCTTCTTCTAGGACCTTCTGAAAACACAGCCAGGCCTAGGGGTATTGTGGGGGGAGCACCCGGACCCCTCGTGTCTGCAGCGGGGCTGGAGAAGGAAGCGCTTCCTGTCCTGGCCGAAGGCGGCTTTGTGGCCAGGCCCGCCCTGGAGAGGAGGTGCAGAGCTGCAGGGCCCCCCCAAGGTTGGATGTGGGGGCCGGCTGGGTGTGACCCTTGGGGGTGCCGCCCGCCCCGCCAGCAAGCGCTGGCCGGGCTGGCTCTGAGCTCTGTGACATCAGCCTCCACAGCACCCCCAGAACCGGTGGAGGCGGAATTGTATTCTCCAAAGCCAGAGAATTCATAACAATGGTGTTATTTTTTTTACATTCAAATGGAAAGTGTATCTCCAAACGCAAGGCGGCAATTGTTTTTTAAAGCGGTTATTTATTATTTCCTAGAGAGACTGGTTAACTGTAACGTAGATGTAACAAAATAATGAGGCGAATGAACCCTAACTGTACATACTCTTGACAGAAATGAAATGCGCACAGCTTCCAGCAGGTGAAGTGAAGCATGAGTCTCAGGCAGTTTTTCTTGGCTACATCTCAGATTGTGTGGGATCCTAACCTCGGGCGCAATCGTTTTCATAAACAGCCGCCCGGCTGTTCTTTCGCCGACTACACATAAATACTCATTTGAAAACGAAAACAATCTTATTAAATACCATTCATTCATATCTGGATTTACAGATGCGTGAGCTCTTGGAAACCCCCAGCCCAGGGTAATCCTTGCATCCTGAGAAGCACCCAGACGACTTCTGGCCATAGCACCAGGTCACAATGCACAAAGGTTTCCTGCAAAGGATTTGTGGGTTTTTTCTGGCCCTGGCCAGCCGGCGGAGCCTGGCGGTTCTGGGGCTCTTTCTTTCCTCCTTTTAAACAAAAACGGAGGGAATCACAGAAGGGTGATCATGAAAACTCATTTTTAGGGGTGGCGCCCAGGCTGGGTGGGCCTGGCTTCCCGCCCGGTGGTGGTGGTGGTGGTGGGGTGGGGGGAGGATACCTTGATGTGTCTCCAGCTGAGGTCTGATACTTGGGGACTGACATTGGTTCCCTGGAACCTAAATCCCGTGGAGGTGCGCGGCTGTGCTCACCAACACGGTCAGCCGTACCCTCTCTGTTCTCCAGCTCCCTTTAAAAATCACCGTCCATCCCCTTCCTCCCCAAATCGAATATTAATATAATTTGGGCTCTGGATGGAACTACCGGCAGGCTGGGATGCCCCGCAGCTGAAATAATATTTAAAATAGAGAGGGTTTGACATTTGAGAAGTCAGTGGCTTGAAATACCCACTTGTACTTAGCTAATTCAGTCCTTAACCTCTGGTTTCAAATAAATCAATTACAGTCGATTCCACTTCAGTTCAGAAGTGCACAGGGTTTTAGTTAATTGAATACATTTTATTCATTTGCTAGGAATATTCATTTATCAAAATCCCAAATTTAACGTCTCATTCTTGACCTCTCAGGTTGTGTGGGCCGCAGGGGCACCTCCACTTTGCGTGGTCTCCCAACATCCACTTAACCTGGAAACGTCACCATCTTCCTCGAGCCCTTCCCTCCCTATTCCTTTCCCAGTACAGAGCCCACATTAGGTGCAAGACCTGCTCCCCCACCCAGAAAAACTCTTCCGTGGTCATTCGTTGTCGCGCGCATGTGAAGTTTAAATAGGTTAAGAACAGAGCTGGATTCATTAAGTTTTTTTTTAAAGTATTGACCTGAAATTGGAAAGAATGGTTTCGGTTCCAGCTGAACAGACTGAGACTGGCAGGCAGGACCCCGGCTTGGGGACTTAGAACTGCAGACCCCTCTTCGCTGTTTGGCTGGCTGGGCCCTGGCTGGGGGCTCCGGTCCCAGTGGCCAGAGGACAGGCCCTGGAGTTCCCGGAGAGCGCAGTCCCTGCACTAGTCCAGGCTGTGCTGAAAGCAGCAGACTCCAGCAGGGCAGCTTCTGCCTTCATTGTTCCAGCACCCTCCTACCGTCCCAATCCCCTACTCCCCCACCAGAGGGAAGGGGTTATTCCGTGCCCAAGAACAATCAAGTTAGAGGACCGCAGGAAGCCAGCGGCTCCTTTACCCCGTTCAAGATCTTCCCCCAAGCCACTCCGTAGCGGAGTGGGGGTGGGGGACCTGGGTAAAGGGGTCTGAAAATGGGGTCAACTCAGCAGTGCGGGAGAGGCAGAAAGTGCAGAGAAGGGAGGGGAGGATTTCTGAGTGACAGGTGCAAAGGTCCTTGGGCAGAGTCCTGGCATTTGTCCTGTCATTTCTTGGATCACCCAGACTGGGCATTCGAAGGACATGTACATTTGTGTGTCCCAGTTGGTCTCCGGTGCTGGGGTGGTGAGGATGGGGAAGCCACCCCACCCGCCCCCACCACATGCCAGACACACCCAAGCCACTGGCGCCCCCACACTCACTCCAGGGGGGACAGCCGCTCCCACACCCCTGCTTTACCTCCCAGGATGCTTGGGGGCATTCCTTGGGAAACTCAGGGAACAATCCTGGTTTCTATTAAAGCCCATGCGGCCATTTCTCAGGTATGCCACCTCCACCTCTGCGCCCTGATATTTCCCCTCCTGTGACTCTCGTGGGAGGGAGTTGCCAGGCCCCCCAGGCTGGTATCTGCAAGCACACTGCCAAGCACCCTGTGAGTCAGAACTGCGGGCCCTCTAACCTCCAGCATCCCCTGCTGCTTTCTGAAGGCGGAGGGACTGACTGGGGCAGCTGGGCGACTCAGTACCCGCTGGAGACCTGTGGGGGATGCTGAGCTGCCCATTTCTCCCACGAAGCACAGCCCAGGCCCAGCTGTGCCCATGAGTGGCCCAGAGGCGCCTTCCTGCTGGGCAGACTGGACCTGGGTGAGACTGTGCCTCCCTCCAGGCTGGCAGGGCTGGAAGCCAGCAGCCTGCTGGGATGGAGCCGCTGAGCTTTCCTCCTCTCTCCAGGAAGGCCTTGTGTAGAAAAACAGAAGAGAGGTCTTAGGCTGAAGCAGGGCGCCCATGAGGTGGCTGCCTGGCAGCTTCCTTGGGGGAGACTCTCCTTTTCATCTCTGGTGCCTGGAAAGGAACAGCTCAGATCCAGGTTTGCTTTCAGAGATTTATTTCCTAACAAAAGAGCAACGCTGAGCACATAGGTAGAGAAATTTACCTTAGAGAATGGGGAGCCCCAGGGAGAGACCCCTCATCCTGGGTGCTGGGGGGGGCAGGCACTTTCCAGGGCTCTTCTGGGGCGCTCTGGACATTCAAGGGGTTTCCTACCCGTCCTCTCCTCTTTTTTTCTCCCCTCTCTCCCTCTGCATTTCTCTGTCCTCTCTTTCCCACCTCCCCAGCTGCCTCTGCCCTCCTCCTCCCCTCCTCTCTCTCTTACACTTTCATCCTGATGTCCACTTAGAAGTGGCAGTATTTTGAGCAGCCAGGCCAGGTTTTTCTTAAGTGGACCAATTTCTCCTGTGCTCCCCTGGCACTAGATTCTATCTGCTAAATTCTAGAAACACCCGCGCTGACGTGGCTGGAGACTGGGGCTGTCCTCTCTCCACTTTGGTCGGGCCAGGGGCCCCTCCAGGGCCCCGCCCACTGGGCGCCCCACCTGGCCTGCCTCCCCTGCGCCAGGAAGCCCACGAGCCTGTATTTTACCTTTGAGGTGCTGGTCAAATTAAAAGGGGCTGATAAGGCTTGGGAAGGTTTCCCTCCAGAGCACCAGCAGATTTTCGATTACATTTCCGCTGGGTTTGTCAGCTACCAAACCCTACTTCGGGACCCCCTGTCTTTATGGAGCCCTCAAGTCAGAGATGCCCCTCTGTGGATCGATCGCACAGAGTGGACCCTGCACAGGGCTCCCCACCTGGAGCACCAGGACCTCCCACCCCAGGAACGCCGGCACCCACAGTGCCCAGGGCTTCGTCCAGTTTGACACCCCCAAACGACCCAAATAACTATGCCCCTCAGTTTAGGGAGGCAGTGGCAGGTGGGAGATGGGGGTCTGGTGGAGCAGCTGGAGACAGGGGCGGGGTCCCGGGGTGAGACCAGGGTTGCCCCTCCAGGCACTGGAGACAGGTTTGGAGGTTCCCAGGACATGCACCTGGGGCTGGGGAGTGGGAGACCAATCTGGGGAGACTAGCCCAGCCCTATCCACACTGAAGTGCCCAGCCCAGTCCTGAACCCCAAAGGGGGTTTGGGGACTGTGCTCCTGGCTAGCCAAGTACTTCTCTGGCCAGGGGAGCTTCCTAGGGGGTTCAGCCCAGGACGGGGCCTCCCAGCTGAGTGCCTCTTGCCAGGGCCCTCAGATGTGGCATTACTGTAGCCTTCAGCTGCCCCTGGGCTACCTGGCTACCTCTAGGCACGCGGGAAGTGCCTTGGTGGCCACAAGTGCTGGGCTCCTGGCAGAGACGGGTGTCCACACCCCAGCGGGCCTCCCCGTGGGATCGGCTGAGTTAACCACGGCTGAGTTAA